CGCTGGGCCTTGGGCAAATCTCTCCCAGCCTCGTCCCCCCTGCACACGGGCCACAGAGCAGTGGTAGCCCCCCAGCATTCTGGCAGGAGGGAACGATCAGACAAGCACTTGTAAAGGACTCAGCACTTGATTCACCTCCCTTCTCGCTGCCTGCGTGTGGCTGAGCCAGGTGACCGCCACGGGATGGCCCACGGGCTTTGGGAGGGGTGAAGCTGGGGTGCACAGGTAGCCCCATTGCTGGCTGCAGCATGGGGCTCCAGAGCACACTCCACAGCCCGCGCAGCTGAGCTCTGCCAGCCTGGAGAGCAGGGCGCCGGCCTGCGCTGCCCGGTGCCCCGTCAGGTACACCAGCCTCACCTGTGCCTTCGCTGCAGGTGGAGCAGACCAAGGAGCACGCGGTCTCCAAGGAGCGAGCCGCCCAGAACAAAATCCTGGATCTTGAGACGCAGCTGAGCAGGACTAAGACTGAACTCAGCCAGCTGCGGCGAAGCCGAGAGGATGTGAGCGGGGCAGGAGCGCCGGGGCGGGCAGGCGCCGACTCCGGGGCTGCGGGTGTGAGACGGTTTCCTCTTCCTCTATCGCTTTCCCATCTCTCGCGGGCCATCTCCTCCACTTCTTTTTTTAAACGGCCGTAATCATCCCCATACCACAGAGTCCACCCCCTTCTAACTGTACAATTCAGTGGTTTTAGCACCCCCGTGACCGCGCAGTCACCCCCACTCTAAGGCTGGTTTTGTCATTACTGGGGCGCTTAATTCTTGATTGTGCCGGATGAGCTCACTGTAACTGAACAAGAAGCACGTAGTGAATTCTCTGGTTCAGTTCTCGCTGACCCGTTCCGGGGCCCGTTAGTTTCACACTAGCGAGTGTGTCTTAGAGCACGCAGGACGGCCTCTGCTCTCATTTAAGCCCCAGTACTGCCCATGTGGATTATTTGCTCTTAAACACTGGGAATGCCCTGTTGGCACGCTCGCCCCAGGCATCATGCCTCACGATGATCCTGGGACGAGCCAGGGGCCACCTCTGGGGGCCGGCGTGGCCACCGTCACAGAGAGCAGGCTGCTGGAGACCCGGCCTCGGCCCTTCGTTGTCCTCATTTCTCGGAGTCTTTAGAAAGAGACCCTTGCCTCATAGTCACCCCGTTTCCCTGCACCCTCCCCGCCCTTGGGCGCCAATGAAGCCTGCGGCTCTGAACGGGCTGCAGCTCTGAGCTGGGCTGCGCCTCTGGCCCTCCTCCAGGCCGACCGCCGCTACCAGAGCCGCCTGCAGGACCTGAAGGATCGCCTGGAGCAGTCGGAGAGCACCAGCCGCAGCATGCAAAACTACGTCCAGTTCCTCAAGTCGTCCTACGCCAACGTGTTTGGGGATGGGCCCTACACCACCTTCCTGACCAGCTCTCCTGTCCGCTCCCGGTCGCCACCAGCCTAAGGCTCACTCCAGGCACAGGAGCCCAGATGACGCCATGGGGACTGAGGAGTTGCCTGTTTTCTCCCCTCTCTCGCAGTGTGGGAGCACGTTCAGCAGCTTTCCTTAGCTACTGACTCCAGGAAAGTCCCTGAAGCAGCGCAGTGAAGCAGGAACTGCTTGGTTCTCTCCTTTCTGATGTTGAGGCCTGATGGAAATTTCTAGTCACCTCGCCAGGCCCTACCTCTACTGGTGGTCAACACCTGATTGTAACACACCCCTACGTAGTTCGTCCTCGCCCGAGAGGATGTGCAGACTGGATTTTTCCTCCAGCCCTTTTTAGGAACCCCTCTCCTGAGTTTTCTCTGACCTGAAGCAGCAGGCACTATTCCCCAGGGGGCCTCCTTAGCCTCCCGGGCTGTGGGCTTGTTCACTTGCCCTGTTTCTTATTTCATGGGTACGGTGCTTTCCCCAAGGCCCCCCTTTCCAAGCGCACTGGGCACGCTGGTGCCCAAGTTCCCTGGGACCTCAAGCACTTCATAGTAGACACTGGGGGCTCATGTCCCACTGGCCTTTTGACAGTGACCCCCCCGCCTCGTTTCCTTCCAGATATGTAGCTATAGAATGCATTTATTCTTGACATTTTCATGTTGTTTTACAAAAAGCTTTTATAATCCATATTTAAAGCCCCATTGGATGATGCCCTGCTCCTGTCCCCGTCCCCATCCTTTAAAAATGCAGCTAGAGAACCAGTAAATATTTTAAAGTATGTGGTGCGTGGAACGTGTGGTTTTTCATTTCATACAGGCCCACGCTGGTTCTCCTTGGCGCACTTGGAGTCCCGTGACGTGACTGAGGAAACATGCTTGGTAGGCATCACTCAGGGCCTGGGGGCTGACACCTCAGCAGTCGGGGAAGACGTCTCTGTTACTGATGCTGAGATGCTCCTTCGTTTCGAATAAGAGTATTTGGTTCTCTTCACATTTTCTATAGTTGTCAGAGAACAAAATTTTTTAATACTTTTTTTTTTAAGATTAATTTATGGGTACAGAACTGGGGTACAGACCAGAGAGGACACACCAGAGACAGATTTGGGAGCAGAACAGGCAGATGGATGAAGTACACTGCTGAGGGGAGCAGTGGGAAGACAGGAGAGGTCTGCCTGCACCATGGTGGGTCACCTCCCTGGCCAGGCATTGAACCTGTGCTGAAGCAGCTGCGGCCAGCTTCATGTTGCTGGACTTTACACTGTTGCTCTACTAGGTAGGGCCCAAGAGAGAACACATTTTTACAGAGGAACACATTTGATGCTATGCTGAGCCCTTAACTCTTCAGAAGAGCGGGTGTTCACCTTCTGGGTGACCCAGTCTTGCTCTCTAAGTCACAGTAATCCAAGTCTCAAGCTCTAGAGGGTTTCCTAGGTCCTTGACGTAATGGACCCACTCAGGCCTCTGCATGGCACCACCAGAGAACTCTTCCTCCCCAAACTATGGGTACGTGTAGATTCCAGAAGTTGCAAAACAATGACCAGCTGCCACCAAGCTTGTTTTCGTCACGCCCTTCACATGAATAGACTCCACCTTACAACACATGAAGACTGTCCCTAGAAAGGTAGTTGGCCGACTGCCCCAGTGTATGGACATTTTTGTGTCAGTCATTTCCTCCGGCGGCCTCAGTGCAGGGTGCTGCTTTTTGGTACTCACACAGGAAATGCGCCAACCCAGCTCATTGTAGGGACAAAGTTCTGTTTTTCTTTTTTTCTGTTCTTTCTTTTTATTATTATTTTTATTTTATAACAGTTCTGTTTTTCTTAAAGATTTCTTTATGCATACAAGAACTGGGGTACAGGCCAGAGGTGCAGAGGATGAGAGGATTAAACAGGTACAGAATGGGGAGCAGAACAGGCAGATCGATGAAGTACACTGCTGAGGGGAGCAGTGGGCCGGTCAGTGGGCCAGTCAGGAGAGGTCTGCTGCACCCTCTGGCCACTCCCCTGGTAGGGAGTTGAATGTGTTGCAGTGGCTGCAGAGAGCTTCACAGTGCTGATCTTTAACCTGTCGCCCATCAGGGAGGGCCAAGGTATTGTTTTTCTTTGTAAAATCTTTTATTACAAAAGTTCAGAATGTTTGTAAAAAAAATGAAAAAAATTCCATTGCATTAAACACCAGAAAGACCCGTTCCCACCTCAAACAGATCCTGTGAAATGGGCAAAAGATAAAAGAGTTCTAGTTAGAGCTGATGCTAGGCCTGGTGAATTATTTTTTATTTTTATTTTTTAAAGATTTATTTATTCATACAGAACTGGGGTACAGGCCAGAGATGCGGAGGGTGAGAGGATTCACCAGAGACAGAGCGGGGAGCAGAACAGGCAGATCTACGAAGTACACTGCTGAGGGGAGCAGCGGGCGGGTCAGGAGAGGTCTGCCGCGCCATGTGGTCTCCTCCAGGGCGGGCAGGCGGGAATTGAACTCATGCAGAAGTGGCTTAAGCCTCCCAGTGCTGTGCTTAAACCCGCTGCACCACCAGGGAGGACCGAGTTATTTTTTATTGAGGTATCAGTGATGTAGAATAACATTTACCCCTGAAAGTAGATAGTTAAGTGGTTTTTAATATCTTCACAAAGTCGTGGGCCCATCACCATTATCCAGTGGTAGACCCTTCTACCACCCCAAAATGAAGCCCATTCCCATCAGCAGCTACTCCCCACAGCCCTCCTCCCTGCCCCTGGAAACCCTTCACGTCTTTTGCTGGGCCCTCCTGGTGGCACAAGGCATTAAAGCACAGCACTGCGAAGCTAGCTGCAGCAGCTTTAGTGCCAGTTTGATCCCTGGCCAGGGAGGTAACCCGCATGGGGGCCGCAGACCTATCTGGTCCCCTGCCCCCCTCGGCAGTGTAGTTTGTTGATTTGCCTGTCCTGCTCTGTCCCCACTCTGGTGAATCCTCTCACTGCTCCTGCATCTCTGGCCTGTACCCCAGTTCTGCATGCATAAATAAATATTTTTTAAAATCGCCTACATTAAAAAAAAACAATTCTTTCCCTAGATTTGCTGGATAATTCACTTGTGTAAATTTTGCTAATGTGTGAATGTCTTTTTCTTTAGCGTGCACTCCAGGTTCACCAACGTCAGGACACACTTCAGTTTCAGAGCTAGTGTTCCATAGTGGGACCCCAGCTCCCCATGGGGTAGTGGATGGCCATGGGGTTTCCATGTTTTGGTTATCACCGTAGGGCCGCCAGGGGCATGCCACAGGTTTGGGAGGACACTATTTCATTTCTTTAGGACACTGGCAATGGTAACTTTGACCCTTGAGGGACTGCCTTTAACAGCAGCTGCCCGAGAGGTTCCAGGGTCTCGATCTAGGCCCCACTCTCCTTAACGAACATGCCCGTGGACCCCACCTTCAGACGCGCCCACTCGTCTAGCGCCCCCTGCCGGGGTGGGGGAGTCTCAGGCCTCATAGCACCAGCGCGCAGGCGCGCTGGCGGCGGCTTCGGCGCCGGAGGCGGGGCCACGCAGCCGTTGGGGCGGGGTTGCGCTGCGCGACTCCTAGCGCGCCCCGGAAGCGGAAGCGGGTGCCCGTTTCCGGGCGGCTGATTCGAGGACTTCGGGTGTCTCTAGTGGCCTCTCGGATGGGCTCCGGCAGCGCCAGCCATGCCTTCCGAGGGCCGCTGCTGGGACACCCTCCAGGCGCTGCGCAACTCCGACAAGGGTCGTCTGTGCTACCACCGCGACTGGCTGCAGCGGGGCGAGGTGAGCGGAGACCCCGGAGGGGCCGAGGGCCCCCCGCTCGCGGCGGCTCCTGCAGGTCCTGGGTTGGGCACGCGCGGAGCCGGGGACCCGCGCGTTCTTCCTGACAACCCGCTTTTGTTTCCTAACCTCTGTGTGTGTAGCCTCTTGGCCAAGGGGGCTGCTCTCTGCAGCCTGTTCCAGCCCTAAGGCAGCGGCCCTTGCGTCATGGGCGCTCTCCCCGAAGGCTTCATTGCCAGCCCCTGCAGACCCTGGGCGCCTCCGCCACGCTGTCAAAGCCGCCTGGCCTCGCAGGGTCGGTTAACCCGCTGCGCGTCTCCAGGGCTGGGTTTTGTGCTAGGAGATGCGATTGAGCGGTGAGCGATTGACCACTTCTCCAGAGCCGCTACCCACCCACTGGAACCTCCCCAGGAGGCCGCGCTGGCTATCACTCCCGCGGCCCACCGCTTTCAGCTGCAGTCAGTAAAGGCTGTTGATACCTCTAAAAACGTGACCGAACCTGTCGCTGTCAGTGCAAAGATCACATTATCAGACGGCAAGGGCGGACCTGGGAAGTTGATGGGGGCGTGGGCTCTGCACCCAGCTTGTGCATAGCTGCCCTAGCCTGTAGGGTGTCAGGTGTAGCTCCTGTTCCTGAGTTACAAGTCACTTCGCTGCAGAGATGATGCCCTTTGCTCCTCAGGCTTCTATGTGAAATGGGTCTCAAGCATTTCTCTCGTATTTGGCAGATTTAAAGAATACCTGCCTTACACGCTATAGCATCACTTTCAGCAGGTGATGCGTTTTTGGCACGAAGACCACAAAATGATGCTGTATTGGGAAAGTCACATCAGGAAGCACACCGATGGCAGCCCTTCCCCACGCTGGTGACCCCGGGCCTCATTGGGATCTGTCAGATAACTCTTAAATGCATCATTTCTGAGTTGTAATTAATTAGTATCTGATGGAGAGATAACATAACCAGGGTCACACCGGTGGCATTTTTTCCCATCAAACTTCACCCTTCACATGCATTGATGCCTTTGGGCCTAAATCAGTCACCCCTGTGATGTCCCAGTGGTGTTTCTTCACAGCCACCGTTCTTCCGACTTCCTACTCGGGCATTCTGCTGTGAGGGAGAGCTTGCTTCCTTTCTTTTAATTGTATCTTCATATTATATATATCTTCATATCTTCATGGACTCAGGTTTCTATTGTATTCAGTGAGTTGTTATCTATTAGCCTGTAACCTTGTGAGTATACTTTTATTTTGTGAGGGGCATGTCTTCAGAGTAAACTCTTGGAAGTGAGATTGTTGGGCTAGAGGGTAAACTTAGATGTACTTTTACTATTTCTTGCCAGAATTCTGGTCAGTAGGTAGGTACCACGTTACCTTCCCGTCAGCAGTGAAGGTGCCTGTTTACCCCCCACAGCCTTCTCAACAAGCTGTGTTACTGTACTTTACATTTTGCTTATATTGTAGGCTTGGGAGAGATTTCAAGTGTAATTTTACAGTGCAGGTCTCTCTTGGCTGAAGTTGAATATCCTTTCATTATTCAGGAACCAAAGTTGCATGCATATTTGTAAATTGTTTATATGTATTTCACTCATCTTTTTTTTTTTTTAAAGATTTATTTATTTGTGCATACAGAACTGGGGTACAGGCCAGAAGCTCAGGGGCGGCGAGAGGCTTCACCAGAGACAGTGGGGAGCAGAACAGGCAGATCG